GTTTGCATCAGATTTAAGATCAATCTTTATAATGAAATAGGCACAATCTAATATTTATATTATCAGACTTGTTTTTTAAATGCAATGTTATTTTTGACATTGATGCATATTCCACAGGTTAGTCCTCCTTTCTTCTAAAGACTAATTTATGTGTAATTTCCAGTAAGAATTGTGAAGTATCCTGGCAGCTTCTATCAAATGCAAACCTAACTATGTATACTTGATAGGAATAGGTTTACTAATATTTAGCTGAAAGACAGCTGTCAGGAAAGAAAATTCAGTAGCTAAGATTTGTTTCATTCTATAGTGAATCATCTTCCAGAATTGTTGAGCTTTGTAACATTGCTGCCAATTATGTAAAAAAAAAAAAAATTCAACCTGATTATTGCATTTCCAGCAATATTTGAGTATGAATTACCTATTTTGGAAATCAGCATTGAAGTAATATACCAGCAAGAAACAAAACAAAAGAACTTGTACCTGTTTTCTCTAAGTGTAATATTTAATAAATGTGATATTTGTCTTCTACTAGTATCCCCATTGTTGCATATCACTTGTTCTGTTTAAATTCTGCATTAATTTAATCATACAATTTTGACTTGTTCAGTTTCATAACTTATAAATAAGGCCCAGCAGTTCTGGGTTTTGTGTTACAAATTTTTCAAATTTGGTCTAGTCTCTTTTGAGTATTCTGCCTTGTTTTTGTAATTTCTTTTGAACTATATTGCTTACTTGAAGATTCTGCTACCACTGAGTAGTTCTGACCATTCCAAGGAGAGACCTTAAAAGATTTCATTTTTATTTTATGAAAAATTAAATCTTGCAGTCTGTTCAAATTATCTCCCCATGGATCCCATTTTTGTTCACCTTTATGAAAATAAATAGTATTGAAGAAAGGTGAAAATGTATTCCCTTGCCATTTCTTGTCAGTAGTTCTAATAGTTCTTCTGATTAAATCATGAACAAGTAATTCTGACTACATGCTTGATAACTGAAAATTTCATTATCTAACAAAAATATGTTTATGTTTATATTGATTTTATACTATTAATGAATTTGTATTGCTGCTGAGAGGAACTTTGAATTTAAGGTAGAATGTTTCATATATTATCTATTATATCCTTGGGCTTGGTTTCAAATGGGTTAAATATGTAATGGTTAAGGTGTTGGCCTAGAAACCAGAAGACTGTGAGTTCTAGGCCTACCTTAGGCATGAAAGCCAGCTGTGTGACGTTGGGCCAATCAGTCTCTCTCAGCCCAACCTACCTCACAGAGTTGTTGTTGTGGGGAAAATAGGTTTGCCATTTTGAGTTGACATTTCCGTATATAAATAAAAAGTGGATTTAAAAAAAATCTAATAATAAGTATGTTTCGATATTACAACCAGCAATCTTTATAGATCATCCTTTAAGAATATTAATAGTAGATTACAGGAGACAGTTACTACATGCACATATATACAGACATAACAGGGAAAATAATTCAGGAATTAAGATTCCTGAAAAAAAATATTTGGAATGTCAGATTATTTAACCAGAATGGAGAGACAAAAATATTAAACAAAATAAGGTACAATGAAGTACAGAAATTGAGTTCCTAAATACTGACACTTGGAGCAGTATTTTATCAGCCAGAAAACCATTGTGTGTCTGTAGGAAATGATAGTATCTGCATTGTAGAGCTGTTAAATTTGAGCCTGCACAATTATTACAGTAGGTAGGGTTGTGTGTATGTATGTCTGAGTTTTGGTGCCTTCGATTATTGGCTCCATATAGTTTTCTTGGCAGGATTTCAGAAGTGGTTTGGCATTGCCTCCTACCTAGGGCTGAGAGAGAGTAACTGACCCAAGGTCACCCAGCTGGCTTCATGCCTGGAAGTTACGGTCTCCCATTTTCTAACCTAGTGCCTTAATCACCTCACAAAACTGCTTCAGGTAGTATTTTAGGGACACTTATATCATTTTATGAGTGCTCCACTTGTTAAATGTGTCTGCAGATGCATCTCTCCACAGTCCAAAATTGACCTGGAAGATGTAAACTGTGAGTGTATGCATGAAGAGCTGTAAAACCATTGTACCATATAAGAACAAAAGTCTTTACAACTTTCATGATATTATTTTGCTGGGATTTTGAAATGCAAGCAGAAATTGGAATATTTTTCTCATCTTAAACTGAAGAACGTTTACAGGTATTCCTTGTTTAACGATGGTAATTGGGACTGGAATTTCCATCACTAAGCAGTGTGGTTGTAAAGTGCAACATCATGTGACCACATCACTTAGCGATAACAATCCCAGCAGTCCCTGTTGCCATTGTTGAGTGAGGATCACGGGTCATTACACAAGGACCTCCTCGCAACTTCCTGCCAGCTTCCCACAAGCAAAGTCAATGGGGAAGCTGGCAAGAAGTTGCAAGTCCCAGGTGGCTTGCAAGCAGGCCAATGGGTAACTGGCTGCTGTGGAGTGCAGGATGGTGCTCAGGTGTCTGCTGCAGCCTGGTATGAGTGCGGCCAGCAATGGGATGAGTGCTGCAGAGGGCAGGAGGACACATGGGAAAGTGGCAGGAGCTACTTGCAACCTTCCCTGCAGGTTTCCTCATTGAATGCTTGTGGGAAGCTGACAGGTAAGGTTGCAAATGGCAATCACATGACCACGGGCCGCTGCAACCGTTGTTAAGTGCGAGCCGGCTGCCAAGTGCCAGGATCATGATCACATCACTATGGGGGGTGCTTGGACGGCTGGAACTTTGAGGACCAGTCATAAGTACCACTTGTTCAGCGCCATGGTAACTTCGAATGGTTGCTGAATGAGTGGTCGTTAACCAAAGACTACCTGTAATTGATATGTGGCCCACCATGATATTATGCAGTCATGTATTTTGAGCAATACAGTGAGATATTGTGTGGCCCTCTTCCTTATTTCTGGGCGTTAAAGCAGTAAACTCAAATATGCTCTTTCTGATATACATAAATGCACACTTTTGAATGTATGTCATTCACACATCTGAATTTAGGCCATATATAAATAGATACCACCTGTAATGTTAATTCACTGTTGTCTAACAAATTCTAGTGCATAATGTTTTTTGATGAGTCTGCCATATACTAATAAAACTTTTGTAATTCTATATTTCATTTGTAATATATCATTGCACTAGAAATACTAGCAGGAACTGTGTTTTTCTCACCAGTTTTACTGAGTCTCTGTGTCTGGCTTGCCATACATGTTTGCTGTTGGTGGCAAATGGATTAGAATTTACTGGTGAAAAGGAAACTTTGAAGTTCTCAAAGTTTAAATGTATATCTGTTGTAATTCTGGTGGAATAGGATACTATTTTCAGAATATATAGAGAGATAAGATTAAATTAGTTATGCTCCTAAGTTGACAGGCCCATCATTATACAGTACTATATTACAATACTTATTCACATAAATTAAATCATCAGCCCTGGAATATAAAGGAAGTTAAAAAGATTCACCTAGGTAACTATCATTTAAAAGTCGCACTAGTAATATCTGAAAAAGAAAGGCAGTGCCAATAATTTGGGGACTTCCTGCTTGCATGATAGAACTTACCTAGCTGGGGAATCAGGCTTAAAAGGATAAAATGTAATTATGGTAGAAGTAGGGAGTTTAAATCAGTGCTAATATTGGATGGCTCCTCCAGGGGATTTTTGTTTTATTTCTCTATAAGCTTTGGAGAAAATGAAATAGTGTATTTTCTGGCAGTTTCATTTTTCAAGGTATTTATTGAGATTGGATATGGTGAGTAAGTGTAGCTGTTTCCTATGCTCAATTATTTTAGTAAACTGGTGTATTCATCCAGATTTTCTGGTCAAGCCTGGGGCCAAATGAAAATTCATTTATCTATGAGGTTTTGTAAGAAAGCAACACTATGAATGTTGATTGGCAGTTTTGTCAAAGCTCACCTTTATACTACTGGAAATAAATTATTTATTTAGGACATTTATAGGCAGCCCCAGTGTGTCATGAGAATTGGTGTTTCACTGAAGAGGTATAAAACTAAAACCTCTGGTATTGTGATCAAGACATAAAGTGTGCAGTTTAGCAGTACTATATTGTTAGAACTGAAATTATAGTAGTAAATTTTGAGTTTTTGAAGTACTAAATTAGGATGGGAGAAGACTCTTAAGAGTTCCCTGGACTGCTAGGAGGTCAAACCAGTCAATTTTAAAGGAAATCAACCCTGATTGCTCA